ATATTTATGTTTGTGGTTGTAATGTGACAAAATATGGAAAAGTTCAAGGGGTATGAATACTTTTGCAAACCACTGTATATATGTATATACTGTATATGAAAGTGTTTGGATATGTAGGTAGGGGTATGTTTGTGTATATATTTATATATGTATATGGGTATGGTTTTCAGCAAGGCTAAAGTCATTATAATTATATAATTATGCATTTTTGTTGCTGTGGTTTTGCTATCTTTGTTTTGTAGGTGTGGAGCCGAGAAGTCCGGTGTGCTGTCTTCTGTTTTCTCAACATATATTTTACATATCTTCTAATCTCTTTTTCACTCTTTCTCATTGCATTTCACTTTTTTTCTTTTTTCTTCTTTTTCTCCTATTATTAAAAAAACATAATAATGGTGTGGAGAGGATGGCTATAGGGGGAGAAGGGAGGAATAAAAAAAGAAGGAGAAAAAAAGAAAAAAACATGTCTGCTAGATCCCATCCCAACCAGACTGTTGAAAGAGGTTCCTCCCAAAATTCACCATTTTTGATGTGCTTAATTTATCTTTAATGAATGGTTATGCGCCACAGAACTTTAAGGTTGCTCTAATTAAAACTTTACGTAAGAAAACCTATCTGGATTCTGGAGTTCTGGCCAACTATAGACTTATATCTAATCTCCCATTCATCTAAAAAATTCTTAAGAAAATAGTTGCAAATCAATTGTGTGAACATCGGGACAGAAATAATCTATTTGAGGAATTTCAGTTAGGGTTTAGAGCAGGGGTGCCCAACCAGTCGATCGCGATCTACCGGTGGATCRCTGACTGGTTGCCAGTCGATCGCGAGACTTGTAGAATGCAACCTTGTTTATGCAACAGTCCAGTCTTGAAAGCACTCCCCCTGCCTTACCCCTCTTGTAAATTCTCATAGACGTAGTCTCACGAGTTTTGGGTGCTATGAAACAGCAGTCAGAACATGATCTTGCGAGACTTTATTTTCACGAGTCCATAACAAAGCAGAGAGGAATTGTTGATCACTATTGTGGAGAAAACGGATGAAAAATGAGCTAATAAGCAAAGAAAAACTTATTATTTTCACCTGGAGTGGGAAGAGGATTCATATGTAATTTGAGCGCTACCTTGTCCAAAAAGGATAACGTGGAACGGCATTTCAAAACAATGCACAAATGCTATGAGACAGATTTCCCTCCTAAAATTGAGCTCAGAAAGTTCAGGAGCTGAAAAACAAGCTTGCAGCACAGCATCGATTTTCACTCAGTCCAACACCAACGGTAAGGCTGCTACGATAGCCTCATACTGGGTTAGCTGCATCCTGGCTCAACACAAAACGTCTTTCAGCGATGATGAAGATATGAAAGAAGCAGTTGATGCTGCAGATGTGCTTTTCCGTGATTTTAAAAATAAAAGTGAGATTGTGGCTGTTATAAAGACGTGCAGTTGTCCAGGATGGATGACATTGTGTCCAAAATAATATCCGTGTTTCAGCTGGACTGCTCTGGAATGAGGTTTTGACTCTGCAAAATGACATTGGGATCAAATCCAGAGCAACAAGTGGCATGGATGGAGAGTTATGCAGTCTGCTGTCAGAGGAAATGTATCCCACCATCAGAAGAGGTGCTTTGAACTTGACAGCACTTTTTGGATCTACTTGTGTGAGTCAGCTTTCTCTCACATGAAAATCATCAAATCCAAWAACAGATCCACTGACTGATGATCTGCCTACACCTCAACCACCTCATACTGCCTGCCTATGAGACCCTGGCCTCCTCTCAGTGTCAGAAGTCCCACTAAGGTAGACATACATTTATTTTTATGTAGCTTGCATAAAAGATTGTCTCCTCTAGACTTGTCACAATGTGCCTGTATGTTGTTTTTTTTTTTTTTCATTACATTTTAGACTAGACTAGTGTGTTATACACTGACTGGCACCTTTGTGTTATTTATTTATTTATTTTGCAGTTTGGGTGTTGTTAGGGATTATTATATTTTATCATTTTGTATTGATCATTGTATTAATCAGGTTCTTACTGAATGTAGCTTTGTTCAATGAGGCCTCGCCCTGCTCTCGGCTGACAACAGAACAGACYGCTGACCTTGTCTTGTTACAATTTATGAAGATCCTGTGTCCACAATTGCACCCATAACTTCCTTCAACCTCTGTGCTCTGCTCTGTGACAAGAATTGCACTCTGCGATTGGTCAAAACGCTTTTCACTGTGTTTTTTTGTGTGTAATAAAGAACACCTTCCCTTAGCAAGAGCTCAGAGCTTCTCCAGATCCCTGGCCCTCAAAAGCTAAGTGTTTCTTCAGAAACTCTCTCTTTGCAAAGGTAAAACTGATCAAAACTGAATCCTCATGTCTGTCTGGTTTCTTCTTTAAGGTGTATTAAATAAATACCCATCAGGCCCTTGTTTTCTATACCTAACGTGACTGTGTGTATGTCTGTGTGTGTGTCTTGTCTGATAGGTGGTGAACCAGGTTGAACTCTGAATGGCCCTTTGAAGCCGGCAGTCTGGACCAGTGAGGGACTGAGCCCGTCAGCACCTGCAGATGACACACCATCCTTCATGCTGCACAGCGCCAACTGCCTAGTTTTGATATTCAGGTTTTATTGAGGTTTGAATTAGTTGTTGGAGATTTGTGAATCTGCACCTTTGTAAGACACTTTTTGTAAATAGTGAGTGAAAATGAGGGAGTTTTATTTTGTGTGCTTTGATTTTGAAAAACGGGCGGCACTCTTGTGGTAGCCAGGTTGGCCCTGATTGTTTTTTTTAATGTTTTTCCTCCCCTGTATGGAGAGAAGAGAGGAGAGTTCTTTGAATAAATGGAGACGAGTTCCCGTGCTCCAAAGTTATTTTACTCTGTGGTTGTCTCATGGGCAGGTTTCCAGCCCTCATAGCTCGCATGTCACAGTGAGTACTAATTGAAGGAGGTAAAAAATTTATAATTTTTGTTTGACCACCAATTTTTTTGTTTCTCTGTCAGGAGTTAAGTATTTTGTCTTTTTTTTTTTCTTTTTTTGCAGGTAAGTTGATGGTTAAGTAGATAATTTTGTTTTAAATATTTTGAATTAAATAAAACTAACAACACATTATGTTCTGTTTTATTTACTTCAAAGAATTGAGGAATAGGGAGATGAACATAATGTTTTTGTGATACTGAGACTGGACAAGTAGATCTCGGCAAACTGCCGACTTCAAAAGTAGATCTTGGTTCGAAAAAGGATGGGCATCCCTGGTTCAGAGCTCATCATAGCACAGAAACAGCACTGGTGAAAGTTACTAATGATATTCTCATGGCCTCAGACAGGGGACTTGTGTCCATGCTTGTCCTGTTTGACAGTAGCCTGGTTAAAACCAGACCCTTGTCCTTTGGTTTGCTTCATACGAGGGTCTGGGCTCTCGGCTATAGGGAAGCGATTCTTGCTGGAGGCGTGGCCTCTGTTGAAATTTAAAATGATTGGATCAGTTGGCCGCAACGTATGTGTATGTCAGCTCCACTGAGAAGGAGGCTAACATAACACCGAAGCTTTATAGTGGGTCACGAGGACCAGAATTCAGAACCATTTTAGGATTTCAGCAACATGACAAGCCTGTGTATTAGTATTTTTCAGCTCAAGCCTGTGTATTAGTATTTTTCAGCTCAAGCCTGTGTATTAGTATTTTTCAGCTCTTGCTTTGCACAGTGTGACATTTTATCTTTATGCTGTGCAGCTCGTTTTTGACAATCATCATCTACCAGCTGATGGAGAGAAGCTGTGGTGGAGCATCATGCAGGTCACTGGGAGATGTAGCAGCGTGGGTTCAGCTCCTGAGAACCTCAGCAGGACATCTGCATCTCAACCCTACCTTCCACTCATCAAACCATATATTCTGCAGGCAGGAGTCTTGTTTCTGGCCAGGAGGATCTGTAGCKGAGCTTACAGATGATGCTGAAGACAACAGGCAGTTTGTGGCTTGTACTTCTGGTCAGAGCAGGSTGCTGAGTGTGGACTTCAAGGACTGTTTTAAACATCTTCATGGACAATACAGTGGATTTATTCCCTTTAGGCAATACATTTTTAATACTGTCTTGCCATATATAAAACATTTTCCTATTTAAATTAATATTTCTATTATAATTTTGGTAAATATTCTTCAGTAAAGTGTTAAATGGTTTTAGTTTTTTGTAACTGCTYATTAGAACTAAAGCATCACTTTACCATTAAACATTACTGAATTATCTTTTGATCAATTACAAAACACAAACTTACATTAGGAATCATGATAAATCACTGGGTCAGTGCTAGACATGCAAAACAAAAACATCTTTAAAATATGCTCCTAAAAACTTSTCTTTTTTAATRGACACTGTTATTTTATGTCTCTTGTGGTAATACACTGAAACATGTCCAGTATGTCTGAAGGGACCTAAAATAACTTTGTCTAGTAAAAAAGAAAAGTTTTTTTTTAAGATTTATCAGATATATAGGCACAATGAACTTCACAGGATTATAAAATATATGCTTTATTTGACATTTGCGTAAAATAAATATGTTATTTTTTTTGCACAGGCAAATACATTGTTGTTGAAAGATGATTCCTCCACATTCCTCTGTGTCTGGGTCAGTTTCTGACCTGTTGAAAGAGCATAAAGTAGAAGCTGTTTTAGATATTTTGATCACAAAAGAATTACATCCTGAGGTGGAAGAAAACTTTTTGACTGCAAAATATCAGGAAATTGTGATGTCTGTGATGAGCAATAACTGCTTATTATTGTGGTGATGATGATGATGATGATGATGATGATATAACTTGTGATAAAACTTCTGAAAACAAGGTAAAGAATTTTCAATAAAATTAACAAACCTAAATCCAACTGTATATTATCTCACTGCAGTCGTTTCCACTGACTAAGTGGTTATGATTTGAAGTGGTTTCTCTTATCAGACTGATGAAAAAATAAATATAAAATTTTCTTTTGTTGCAAAACCTCTGGGACAATGATGACAACGTTTACTGGAGAATAATTTTCTGTGAATTCTCAAGCTGTGGAGGAAGACTATGAGGATATAAATGCTATGTAAAAATGCAATGCCATTTTTTTTCAAATATTATGCAGCTTTTTACTTTTATTTTATGTAAAACAAAATTTATTATTTCACCTGGCTGTAAAGCCAGTACTGAATAAATGTTTACATTTTATAAAAGGAAACATTTTTCACTTTAAGTTCTCAAAACTTGGTTCTTGTTTCTGTCTCCCACAGTTTGTCAGTTTAAAATCTGTTGCATTGAATAAACCACCAACCTTACCATCAAATATTTCCCTTTGTCCTACAATTAAGATGAATTATTTGCAGTCCAAAAAATTCATCTCGACACAGTTTATGACTTACCTATTTTACAAAGCCTGAATAGGAGTCTYCCAGAATCCACTGCGTCTCAGACCTTCCCCAAAGTCAGCTTCTCTGAAACAATTATACAGTACAATGGAGTTAAAACCATAACCAGATTTTTATTTCAACACATTTATCACATACTGAATTTTATTTTATATACGTCTAGACCAACTTACCTATATAATGTTATATAGTTTTTGGTTGTAGAATGAATCACATATGATAATCTACCAGACTAAACATCTAATAACAGATTAAAAATGCTGCTGAGGCTGAACAACATCTCCTGATTCCCGGAGAGAATCTAGCTGTAGAGGGTGACTGACATGTGGTCCGTCACTTACTGACGTCTGGGCAGAAACTGTTAGTTTCTAAAGATCTTAGATAATCTAGTTCCGCCCTCCGAAGGTTAGATTAGAAAAGTGGTATCAAGAAAAGTGTTAGTTTCAGAGACTTGCCGTCGGCTCCTGAGGCTAAATAAAGATTACTACTTCTGTGTAGTTCAGAAACAAAACATATCATGACCTATTTAGCTAATATCTGATGAGAATTTCTTTAAAACATAACTGAAAGAATGAATTACTTCAAATTCAAAACATTTGCAAATATGATTCAAACAAGTAAAATATTGATGTTTCATCAACTTTAAACCATGAAGATTAGTTTAGTTAAATAAGATTTTAGCACAGAAAATCCATACTTAGCTGAGATCATACTGAGGCAGAAAAAGATCTGTCCTCATTTCTCTTGTAGCTTCGATAAACATTCTCTGATTATCAAAATGCGTAATAACTTCCAGTTAAGAGAACAATAAATCAAATAATAAGAAGATTCTTCTGTCTATTATCTGATTAAGAAGAAGAGAATGTCTCTTTGAAAAGTTAAGGTGACCTTGAGATGGCCTAAATTCAGTTCTAAGTGGAACAGAGTTTTTGTCCCTTTAAAGGCCCATCAGAGGACTGAGGTCCAAGACAGTTTCCTTGATTATTTCACTCGAGGTGACCCCTACAAGGGCCTTGTGACTGATTTTGGGCTTAGCTCATTCAGCCCACACTGTGCGTCAGACAGCTTCCACCAATATGAACAAAAACCCCAAATATGTGCCTGAAGGAGTTAAATATGTTAATCATAATATTACTATAAATATATCAACTGTCATGCAAAGAACATACACTATTGAAGTATTTCTGATATGACAGGCCTTCATCTTTCAAAAATGCATTAGCCACCATAAAAAAAATTCAGTTKCTTGTTTTGTAATTCTACACAGATTCAAAGAGGGTAAATCACCCTTTATCATATATTCAAATATGGATATTTAACATTTTTCTCTTCAGCTCTGAAGCAGCTTTCTGTCCTGAAATTTGTTTCCATCATGGTTTACTAAACTCTGAAAGCCCCACTTTTGGTTTGCTTCATTCATAACTTGTTCAAAGGTTGTTTATTCATTGACTGTTTGAATTGATGTGTATTTCATTGTATTGAGCAGTACAGGTTGACCTGATGTTCATGTATTCAGTGAAACTGTAAATGTTATGTGTCTGCAAGATGTCTTTGGAAGAACAGATGTGGAATTTTAAAGGCAGTCCTCAGGCAAGATGTACATTTTTAATGTCATTTTTATGATTAATGATAGCCCAAAACTCCTTCAGGAGAACATGGTTGAGCTTTGGTTATTTCAGTGGTGAATATTTCATGGTTGAGAAATGAAACTTTGAATTAATCAGATTCAGTTTTTAATTCGGTGAGAAATGAAGGATTGAAACTAGTGTAAGCATCCAGATGTTAGTGTATGTGATGCAGTTTCACTAAGACATACAAGAAAATAAAGCATGAAATGATAATTCATATATTTTGAACAGGGCTTTAATGAAAAGGTTTTGAACAATTAATAACTTTAACTTAAACAAATATAATGTTGCTCAGATATTTCATTTTAATTCATTCAAGCACAGTTTCTATATCCACACACACAAAAAAACTAGAAATACAGCAAAGTGAATAAAAACAGCAAAACCCTGTTTAAAAGCTAAAAGCTACAGTCAACTTAASCAACACTGACTCTTCTTTTTATTTTTAAACTCTTCTAACATCGGTCTGTACATGTTTCTGGTAATTGTTCCAGTTCAATTGCATTTTCTTTGATAACATCGCTCTTAGTAGAAACAATGGGCCTCATGCAAGAACCGTTCATACGCACAGATTTGTTCTTAAGTTGTGTGTACAAGTGATTTAGGAGAATTTGTGGCATTCACCAATGTTTTCGTATTCTAAGATTTTTTTCAGATGCGAACAAAATTTACGAGTG